ATATATATATATATATATATATATATATATATATATATATATGTGTGTGTGTGTGTGTGTGTGTATGTATATACAGTATATACATACATATATATACACACACACACACAAAATTATATAATTTAATATAATATATATCTCAAAAATATATGACAGGTTATCTAAGATATTTATTTGCATATCATTTGTATTTTTATTTTAATTATTGATGTTTAAAAGTTAGGATATCAGAAACAGATACATTGCTATTTTTGACTTTTAATCCATGTTTGTGTAAAAATGTCTTTCATTTTAGCAGTCCAATCAAATACGGAGTCAAGAAATAGTTAGAGCTTGGAAAGTCAAATCAAGTGCATTGCATTGTGGGATATAATAGCCAGTGTAGTGTGCTTTGTTGTAGACTGCACATTTTAGCAAATGCAGCTGGCAGTTGCATACTGCTGAGTCTAGATTGCACTTCTGTTCTTGACTTCAAGATGAAGTGACAGCTAATATCCATGAACTTTGATTCAACTGCACAAATTGCCAAGTGTGAGTAAGCGGGTATGTAAATGGGTGAGAGTTCTGTCTGGACAGGGTTACATAACTGAACTGATCCTCTTTCTGTGACACCAGGGGAGCCGTCAGGACAAAGTCACAGTGGTCAGACACTATGTCACCGTGCTGGAATGGAGGGTTAAACCGGTGAGGACAGCCCTGCTCTTGCTGTCTGTCGATGAGACGGGCTGAGACAATCGCTTCACAGGTCACAAACATACTCTCCGCATGCTAAATCAACATGTTAACATGTGATTCTGCCTTGCTGTGGTGATAACATATCTCAGTACTCAAGAGGGCATTAGACCTTCCTTCAGATTGCAACAATACAATACTTACATATAGTAGGGCTGGGTTTTGACACTAATTTCACAATTCGATTTGATTCTCATTCACAAGCTTTCGATTCGATTCGATTACCAATTCGATTCGATTCGATATCGATTATTTTGGATATACTGTACATCAGGTACAGTACCGATTACCGATTCGATTCGATTCAATATCGATTATTTTGGATGTACAGTACTTGCCAAATTTTCTCAAGGAAAAAAAAATCTCTCAACTAATGCTGTAAAATATACATGAGAGTCATTTGGTTCTACATTACTATAATATTGAAGGTTAAAATTGACTGATTTATAGCCTACAACTGCTAAAATTACACTTAATAAAGTTTTTAAAATAATAATGTTACAATTACATAATAATATTTTTACTTCAATTCGTTTTTTTTTTATATAAACATTTAAATGGTGGTATTGAGCGATTACATGAGACAGGATACGGATTGTAAAGTTGTACTCTTTCTTTTAACTAACCTTCGGATGTTTAGTCATTTTTTTGTGCCGAAGCTGGTATTAATGTGGAGATGATCAGTTCACGTGCGCCTTGCGCTGCCGCGTCTGTTCAACTGATACGCTACAGCGATCTGTCACTCCACATTAAAGGGGTCATATGATGTTGCTAAAAAGAACATTATTTTGTGTATTTGGTGTAATGAAATGTGTTTATGTGCGTTATGCAAATCTTCCCACATTGTGACATAGACATGTGAGGGCGTGTTAGAACGAGCCGTATTAGGTAGGCGTTGTTGACTCTTAACTTTTATAAAGAATATCTCTTTGGATTTGAGACTTTAGTCTTTGCAACTTTACAGATCTTTATGCACCAAGAGCTTGTATCATTTCAAAGAGAAAGGAAAAATTGAAATCGCATCATATGACCCCTTTAAACAGTGCCAAAACTGCATTTATTGTTTAAATACTGCAATACGGACAAAAGACAGAATTTGAAATCTGAGACTTTGCTTCATATTAAAAGTACCAAAGCACAATGCTTATTATTGGATGGGAAGTGCCCTTCAGTGTTCTGTCCATAAATTGAAAACAGGCGAGACTAATCGATTCTTGGGATTTAAGAATCGATATCGTTCCGTAAAAAAAAGAGAATAGATTAATATCGAGATATCGATATTTTTTACCCAGCCCTATTACATAGTGCTTCTTAACTAGTAACTAGTTCTTAACTAATACAGTAAAAACAGAAATATTATTATTACAAATTAAACATGATTACAAATTAAAATAACTGTTTTCTGTTTTAATATATTTTGAAATGTAATTTATTTCTGTGATGCAATGCTGAATTTTCAGCATCATTACTTCAGTCTTCAGTGTCACATTATCCTTCAGAAATCCTTCTAATATGCTGATCTGCTGCTCAAGAAACATTTACTATTATTATCAATGCTGAAAACAATTGGGCTGCCTCATATTTTTGTGGAAACCGTGATATAAAGTTTAAAGAATAGCATTTATTTAAAATAGATTTTTTTTCTAAACATTATAAATGTACTTACTGTCACTTTTGATCAAGTAAATGCATCCTCAATGGGTATGATATGATGTATATAATGTTTCAGGCCATAGTGACATATCAATCCATCATGACTAACCATTCACTGGCAGCATCCTACTTTCTGTAGTGTTTCTTTTCTTTTATGCCTCTCAAAGCACTCCTCATACATGATCTCTTTCACAACGTCTTCGTTTCTGTCTTTGTTACAAAGGAGAAGCCCTGCCGTTGTGTGTAAGAATAACTCAAGAGTAACCGTATACCCTGCGGCCTCTTGTATGTGTTCCGGTGTGTACGTGCGTCTTTAGGTTAGATGGCTGACATTTAGTGAACTGAATTGGTTTACGGTGGGATAAACCAGTCTTTACAAGGCTCCACCATAAGGATGGCCTGGGTTCAGGTTCAACATAAGTAAACCAACATGCCCGTTAAACAAAAGCATTTGAATTTGTTTGATATATTGATTACTGTGGTTGAAATCGGTTGATTTAAATATGTTGCCATCATAACGTGATCTCTCAGGCTAACACCGATTAAGATTTATCGAATTGCAAGAAGGACTTCTGATCATCTTGGAAGCACCAGTTTGAATGGGCTACTCCAGAAGACTGGAGTAATGAAATTAAAATTCAGCTTTGCATCACAGGAATAAATTACACTTTAAAAAAGATTAAAATAGAAAACAGTTCATTTAAATTGTAATAATATTTCACAATATTACTGTTTTTATTGTACCAAATAAATTCAGTCTTGGTGAAATAATTATTTCAAGAACATTAAAAATCTTTGCGACCCCAAACTTTTGAAAGGTAGTATATTTATAGAGATATACACATTATAAACTTATGTCACTAAAATATGTATTTATTATATTTTTGAGGAAGTAATATTGAAAATCTTAACTTCTGGCACAAGCCAGCACAGAAAAAAATTATTTGTACACTAATATTTGACACTTCAATTGAATTAATTCAATCTAAAACATAAAGGGAAACAAAACAGTATGTAGATGAAACAGACCCTGTTTGCTCAGAAAAAAAATCTCAAGTTTCACATCACAACCAATCAGGTTCCAAACCACAGCCAAAGCATGAGCTGCAATCTATATTTATATATGAATGTGGCCCTCCTGGCTGAAGTGGACTACCTCTGATATGAACTATGCTTATATGAACGTGGTTAATGTTGGGTTACATTGTGGTACCTTGTTCTTCTTTCTCAAAAAGAAAGAAGTGGTTGATTTTGGATATCTGCAGCTTGTAAGAGCTCCGCAATTCTGCTGCTGTTTTTGATTGTTTGTTCTGTGTTTAGTAATTCAACTTCTATTACCAGAGACGAACTCCTTAACATTAACCAACACATCCCAGGTGCAACGGTGTTGTTTAAACATGCGCTTGGACGCAGAAGAGGGAAGCACGCCGACGCGCTGGTTGAGCTCCGCGAACATGGCTTTCGAACTGCACTCCCAAGCATTCATCTTGTCTGTTCCCTTCTTAACAAAATGGATGAACAACTACTCTTCACTTGCATCAACAAGGACTTTCAAACTCTGCTGCATTGTGCTTCACTGAAACCTGGCTGAGTGAAGCCATTCCAGACAATGCGCTTCATCTGCGGGGCTTCCAGCTGTTCAGAGCGGATTGCATCGCAGAGTTAACGGCGAAAACGAGAGGTGGTAGATTGCGTTTCTTTCTTCATCAACGAAAGTTGGTTTTCAGATGTAACAATTTAGAGGCACTCTTCATAAACTGTAAACCTTTCTACTCGCCGCGGGAGTTTTCCTTTTTCATTCATGGGAATGTGTACGTTCTGCTTCGACTGCACTGTTTGGAGTGTTTTTGAAGCTGCAGCCACCGATCTGGATGAGCTCAGATACTGTAATTTCATATATCAGTTTATGTGAGGATATGTGCATTCCTACCCGGACACTCCTATCATTCAATAAAGATAAACCATGGTTTACTGGGAAACTCAATCAGCTTCGTCATGCCAAGGAAGATGCTTACAGAAGTGGGGATAAAACCTTGTATAACCAGGCCAGAAACCGACTAACAAAGGAGATCAGAGTGGCTAAAAAAAACTACTAGCTACTCCGAAAAGCTGAAAAAAACTCCCGGTATCAGTATGGACTGGTCTGAGGAGCATCACTAAGTACAAGACACCATCCCCGCAGTCTGTGGTGAATCAACAACTGGCTGACGATCTGAATGTGTTTTACTGCTAGTTTGAAAAGCCAAGTCTCACACCCCGCACCTGCTCTGATCTGCACTTCACACATACACCCACCCCTCTCTGTCCCTCTCCTACCATTCAACCTGCGCTTAAGGTCTGTGTACAGGACGTGAACTGGGTCTTCACAAAGCAGAAGACTAGGAAAGCTTCAGGCCCAGACGCTGTTTCACCTGCCTGTCTAAATGTCTGCGCTGACCAACTGGCCCCCATCTTTACACAGATCTTCAACAGATCACTGGAGCTGTGTGAAGTCCCCTCCTGCTTCAAACACTCCACTATCATTTCAGTCCCCCAAAAAAACAAAAATCACTGGACTTAACGACTACAGACCTGTCGCTCTCACATCTGTGGTCATGAAGTCGTTTGAGAGACTGGTGTTGGCCTATCTGAAAGACATCACTAGACCCTTGCTGGATCCTCTTCAGTTTGTGTACAGAGCAAACAGGTCTGTGGACAATGCAGTAAACATGGGACTGCATTATATTCTGCAACATCTTGATACAATCTCAGGTCTCAGACAAACTGACCCAGCTCTCCGTGCCGACCCCAATCTGTCAGTGGATCACCATGATGATGATCACACGACAGCACTGTACGGCTCGGCTTGGCTCAGTTTGTGTTTCCACTGCAGTTTAGTACCGCTTTAGAATGGGCGGGATTATAGACATGTTATTATAGTTGCGCCGCCTCTACTGCCATGCTGAGCGACCTCCTGAAAAACATTTTCATTCCGCATCGTCCCATCAAGCTCTCGCTAGATCCGCTCCTCGGCTATCAATGAGAGGAACGTCTGTACGTCCTCAACAGACCATGAAACAGCCATTATTTTGTTGTTAAAAAAAAAGGTGCGTTCGTTCAAAAAAAGTTGCGTTCGATCCTCGCTGGCTGTGCTGATTTAATCTAGCGGGTCTAGTGTCTCATGTTCAATGACACAGGTAGTGGCGATTCTCTCCGGCAAATCAGTGATGTCGTTATAGTTACGCAGCATCTACTGCCGCGACCTCCTGAAAAACTTCAAGCTTTCGCTGGATCTGCTCCTCGGCTATCAACGAGAGGAACGTCTGTACTCCTCAACAGACCACGAAACAGTAAGTTCAAGTTCAACGCAAGTTCAATGACGCAGGAAGTGGCGATTCTCTCTGGCAAATCAGTGATCAGCAGGGTTTACATGTCACATTTTGGTAACGGTATGGCTCGCTTGGAACCTCAGCCGAGGTGGTACTGAAAAAAGTACCAGGTACCAGGTACTGTGCACAGTGGAAAACTCCCCAAAAGTGAGCCATGCCGTGGAAAAGTGCCAATAGACTCCATTTCTAAAAAGGCCCAGCAGAGGCTGTATTTCCTTCGCCAACTGAGGAAATTTAACCTGCCACAGGAGCTGCTAAAAACAGTTCTACTCGGCTATCATTGCCCAGCGATTATTGGTTCCCCCTGCCCAACCTCCAAGATCTTTACACCTCCAGAGTGAGGAAAAGGGCTAAGAAAATCACTTTGGACCCCACACACCCAGCCCACTCTCTCTTTCAACTATTGCCCTCTGGTTGGCGCAACAGAGTACTGACCACCAGAACAGCCAGGCTCAAGAACTGTTTTTTTCCACAGGCCATATTCAGCCTGAACAATTAAAACTTTCATAAGTATATATTGCCCATTATAACTGACACACTTATACATAGCATATCTGTACATTCATTGAAACAATTATGTTTTTTTTCTCTATATTTCTACTTCTGTATTATATTGCATTATTTAATTTTCAGTTTTTCTAATATTAGTGTTATATTTCATCTCTATTGTGTAATTCCTATGAATGTCTGCACTATCATGTATGTTTGCATTATTGTCTGTACTTTCTTCTGCACTGGAAGCCCCTGTCGCCAAGACAAATTCCTTGTGTGTGTAAACATACTTGGCAATAAAGCTCTTTCTGACTTATAAAGTTAAAACTTTACTCTGTAAAAACTTTCTCTTAGCTATGTAATGCTATAGCATTCTTGTTATAGGATCCTGACAAAACTCTGATCCATTTTGTGTGATCTGTTTTCAGATTATACATTGAAAGGGAAGTCTGAACTCCCATAGACCTGACTCGGTGAACTCTCTACACACACACATTGTCCCTTTGGTTGGCTGCACAGGAGCCAGAGCTTGTCATACAGTAAAAATAGGGCTGGTCTAACAGTTTATCTTCCCATCAATCAAAAGTTTCCTACTGAGCTGTCTCTGGCCACTGCTGTGACAGGTTTTGCCCCCAGGACTATCGCAGGATTACCAGAAATCCTATCCACAGGTTAACGCTGGAGGGCATGAGCAGCCAGAGCTGTAAATCACAACAAAAATACCACCCTGTTTGGATAGCAGATGTCTTCTAGTGTATGTACTGTATGCTTGTGCATATTATTTTTAGATTTATATAATGATTTGAAGAATGGCAGCGTTTTGTGTATGTGTACCGCACCATGTTCCCTTCTGGGACATTATATAAGTATATTTTATTCAATTTGTTCATAACGTACTGGAGAATCTTGCAAAAAGTCCCCCCAAATAAGGAAATAAAAAGAAAGAAATCTGTTTATATGTTGCATAAAAATTATAGAACCATTTTTTGGTTGAGATATCTTACTTTTTAATAAAAATATATCTACTTATAATTTTATATACAAAAAATATTCAAAAATATAAAAATGTCACTAAATATATGCATAAAGTAAAAAACTACAGCACCATTAAGATTGATTACTTATTTATTCAGGGTTTCTAAACTTCCATAAGATCTCATTACTTTTGAATTAATTTTACAAAAAATAATAAACAAGTAAACAAACAAATATATAGCAATATAGCAATGAAATAATCGAAAATAGGCTTAATTTTCCTTATGTAAAATATCATTTCTTTTAATATATATATATATTTTTATAAATATATAAAACACTTGACTAAAAGGTCATACTCTATTGGATTTCTTTTCAAGTATGAGTCTGCTGGTGTCCAGAGTGTAACTCAGTGTGCAGGAGTCATACTACCTGCAGGGCTCTGATGCAGACCCTCGCAAGCACAGCTCATTAAAAAGTTAGATATCAGACTGCTATTCACTTTGGGTTGCACCATAGGAATACATATCCCATGACCTAAAGCATTTGCTGGAAACTGCTGGACAGCATGTTTTTGGTTTATAGGGCACATGATGCTGCTCAGAAAAAAAAAACAGAGAAGAAAAGCGGCACTCACTTTGTCTCCGCTGGAGTAGAAGAAGTAGCGCAGACGGACAATGTTACAGTGATCCAACTTCCTCATGATCTGTAACTCACGATTCTGACAAAAAAACAATTCATAGACAGAAAAAGAAAGAAAGAATCACGGGAAATGACATCAATATAATGCTAAATGTTTATAAGGCTAAACTTGTCACCTCAAGACTAAACATTTCTGATGTAAACACACACAACCAACGATAAACTGATGCTTACCTTAAACCTTTTATCCTGCAACACCTTCTTTATGGCCACCAGCTCACCAGTGTTGCACAGCTTCGCTTGATATACGACCCCAAACGAGCCGTTCCCGATGACCTTTGTGTCCGTGTAGCTGACCTCCTGAGGTCGGTCGGGTCCCTGACCGGGGGTCGCGGCCACTGTGGTAACTTTACTGCCATCTTTATCTCCTAAACAGAGAGAGAAAGTACAATGTACCATGAATATTCCTTTGTAATTCACTGGTCTGTTTTACATGGTCACATGCATTCTAGGTGTTACTATGCTCATCAGTGTGTGATCCTGCGTGTATCATTCATTCACCAGAGCTCATTTTAAACACGTCCGCTTCACACCTCATCACGTTTTCACACCCCTGAGCAAGTGCTTGACAACATGAAAATGGGAAATATGAGGACAAAATGGGAACTGTCCTCAATTATTTAGTAGAAATATATTTTTATTGTGTAGCCAGGTCTGTGGTCAAGTACTAGGAAACTGACTAAATACTAGGGCTGCACGATTAATCGAATGCGATTGTCATGCGCATTTTGTTAGTAATGCCGGTTCTGTAACCAGCAGTAAATCTTCATCACATGCTTTCAGATGGAGCAGCATTTACTACACAGAGCCGTAGTTCACTGACAAGTTACACAAAAAAAATCGCAGATGATTTTATTGCGCGATTATGAAATCGAAGAAATCGTTCGCGATAATGACAGCTGTTTGCATAGCTTCTCAGTGAACTACGGCTCTGTGTAGTAAATGCTGCTCCATCTGAAAGCATGTGAAAATATATATATAAATAAAAGGGGTGGTTGATCAGCTTTTTTCAAAGGTTTGATTGTGTTTATGGGGTGCAGTGTAACATGTGCTCATGCTTCGTTTAAAAAAAAAGAAAAAAAACGCATTATTTTCACATATTTTACCTTAATTCTACACCGCTGTTTCCATTCTCGTCAAAACAGTCTGTCAAGTTCCTGGTTCTCTGAAGCCCCTCCCTCAGAAATACGCAGTCGGGCTCAGATTGGTTAGCTGGCCCAGTGTGTTGTGATTCCTAATGCACTTTGTCCGGAAATGTCATGCCCCCTTACCATTACGTGCACCTCTAGTTTTCTCTTCCTCTTCTCTAAAGCAGCGCAGCATGGCCCCGCCCCCTTTGCTGCATGTACACAGGGGTGGGGTTTATGTAAATTTCAGGGTTTGTGATGTCACAAACCCAGGAAGAAGCTTGTTATAGTCCCTACCAGCCTTTTTTTGTAGTCCTAAAACAGCAATTTCTTTAAAAGAAAATATCTCCCTTTGCATTGAACTTTGAGCGCTTTATTTTAATGAAAATTATAATAATAAGAACTCAGATAAACCATATATTGTCGTAGTTGTGTGTTTATTAGTCACGTTGAATCAATAAAAGCAGTTAAATCTTCTGTTTATCCAGCTACCGCTATAGGCATTTTCTGGGTTTCTTCTGCAAGGCGTATTTGGAGTTTCAGCGCGAGAGCGCCCTCTGGCCTTCGGATGGAGATTTACTGCTGATCACAGAACCGTGCTTCACTTAAAGATACACATGACAATCGCAGTTTCTGTCGAATCGCGATTTCGATTCCATTTCGATTTATCGTGCAGCCCTACTAAATACTAAATACTTTTGTGAGTTTAAATTATATGGATAATGACTTTGTATAGCTAGGAAATGGGATCAATAATTTGCACAGTTAGAATTTGGTTACACTTTATTTTAAGGTGCTCTTGTTACAATGTAATTACACGTACCGAGTAATATTAATTAACTACATGTACTTATTATATGGTTAGGGTTAGGATTTGGGTTTGGTTTAGGGTTACTTGCATGTAATTATGCATAATTAATTGTTATTATAATAGTAAGTACATGTAACGTGTAACAAGGACACCTTAAAATAAAGTGTTACCGAGAATTTTAATTGGAAACTAAAGATAAGCTCATCGTATAGAAAGTGATCTAGTCCAGGCCAAAGCTGAGGCCACAGAAACTTAATGTCCACTAGGAAATAACATCAGTGAATCTTCCGTTATTCTTTTTATCACCATAAAGTCGAGATATTTCCATTAACCTATCATATCCTCATTAGTTACACTACCGTACAAATGTTTGGGGTTGGTAAGATATGTTAATGTATTTTTAAAATACGACTGTTATGCTCACCAAGACTGCATTTATTTGATTAAAAAATGCAGTAAAACAGTAATATTTAGAAATTATTATTACAATTTAAAATAACAATTTAAATATATTCTAATAAATTATAAAATGTAATTTATTCATGTGATCAAAGCTGAATTTTCAGCA